CAAGAGTAATAGTTTTATACCTCCTCAGTTCTATGTTTTCTTGATGGTATCAAAATTGCCCATTGATTTGGGGCCTCTGCAGAGAAATTCTAGTCAGATGCGAGGTATGAGGATCACAGAAACGCACAGAAGTAACTGCACGAAAACATTTCCCGCCATATATCAACAGCAGGAGTAACAGTTTGGCACCTCCTCGCGTTTCTGTGTTCCTGGTAGCAAACTTGCTCATTAATTTGGTGCCTCTGCAGAAAAATTCTAGTCAGGTCTGTCTTATTCATTTTCTGAAGATTCTGTATCAAGATCGCAGACACGACGAGGAGTATTTTCTCCAATTTTATATCGGCAACAAGGGTGACGGTTCCATACCTCCTCGCGTTTCTGTGTCCCTGATAGCAAAAATGTCCATCGATTTGGTGCTTTTCCAGAGAAATTCTAGTCAGATGCGCATTACTCAACTTCTGAAAATTATGTATCAGGATCACAGAAACGGCGAGAAGTAACTGCACGAAAACATTTTCCGCCAATTATATATCAACAGCAGGAGTAACAGTTTGGCACCTCCTCGCGTTTCTGTGTTCCTGGTAGCAAACTTGCTCATTAATTTGGTGCCTCTGCAGAAAAATTCTAGTCAGGGCTTATTCATTTTCTGAAGATTCTGTATCAAGATCGCAGACACGACGAGGAGTATTTTCTCCAATTTTATATCGGCAACAAGGGTGACGGTTCCATACCTCCTCGCGTTTCTGTGTCCCTGATAGCAAAAATGTCCATCGATTTGGTGCTTTTCCAGAGAAATTCTAGTCAGATGCGCATTACTCAACTTCTGAAAATTATGTATCAGGATCACAGAAACGGCGAGAAGTAACTGCACGAAAACATTTCCCGCCAATTATATATCAACAGCAGGAGTAACAGTTTGGCACCTCCTCGCGTTTCTGTGTTCCTGGTAGCAAACTTGCTCATTAATTTAGTGCCTCTGCAGAAAAATTCTAGTCAGGTCTGTCTTCATTTTCTGAAGATTCTGTATCAAGATCGCAGACACGACAAGGAGTATTTTCTCCAATTTTATATCGGCAACAAGGGTGACGGTTCCATACCTCCTCGCGTTTCTGTGTCACTGATAGCAAAAATGTCCATCGATTTGGTGCTTTTCCAGAGAAATTCTAGTCAGATGCGCATTACTCAACTTCTGAAAATTAAGTATCAGGATCACAGAAACGGCGAGAAGTAACTGCACGAAAACATTTCCCGCCAATTATATATCAACAGCAGGAGTAACAGTTTGGCACCTCCTCGCGTTTCTGTGTTCCTGGTAGCAAACTTGCTCATTAATTTGGTGCCTCGGGAGAAAAATTCTAGTCAGATCTGTCTTATTCATTGTCTGAAGATTCTGTATCAGGATCGCAGACACGACGAGGAGTATTTTCTCCAATTTTATATCGGCAACAAGAGTGACGGTTCCATACCTCCTCGCGTTTCTATGTCCCTGATAGCAAAAATGTCCATCGATTTGGTGCTTTTCCAGAGAAATTCTAGTCAGATGCGCATTATTCAACTTCTGAAAATTATGTATCAGGATCACAGAAACGGTGAGAAGTAACTGCACGACAGCATTTCCCGCCAATTATGTAGGCTAGGCAGCAGCGGTGTCCGCAGTAGTAGACTCTTCAGTCTCCTAATCAGTCGCCGTGCGCTGTGCGGGTTCAAGTCCCGTCCCAGGAGAAATTTTTCTCTTGGCTATGGATGTTGTGATTGTCCGTAGGTGGTAGATGGTCTCTGACTGTCGAACACGGAGGTACCACCCGGCGGTTATCGTAGGCGGAGCCAGAATGTGTGCATGTTGCTTGCACACGTGTTCCCTCGCCAGAGTCCGTGTTGCGTCCCCCCCTTTCCCATGTATCCCCCTATAGCCCCACGGTACCCAATGGGTGCTTAGGCCTTAGGCCTTCGTGGTAGTTGGAGTATATAAAAAAAAAGAAAAATATCAACAGCAGGAGTAATAGTTTGGCACCTCTTCGCGTTTCTGTGTTCCTGGTAGCAAACTTGCGTTTCTATGTCCCTGATAGCAAAAATGTCCATCGATTTGCTCTTCCAGAGAAATTCTAGTCAGATGCGCATTATTCAACTTCTGAAAATTATGTATCAGGATCACAGAAACGGCGAGAAGTAACTGCATGACAGCATTTCCCGCCAATTGTATATCAACACCAAGAGTAATAGTTTTATACCTCCTCAGTTCTCTGTGTTCCTGATGTAACATAATTGCCCATTGATTTGGTGCCTCTGCAGAAAAATTCTAGTCATATGTGTCTTATTCATTTGCTGAAGATTCTGTATCAGGATCGCAAAAACGACGAGAAGTATTTTCTCCAAGTGGCGCTTCCATACCTCCTCGCGTTTCTATGTCCCTGATGGCAAAAATGTCCATCGATTTGGTGCTTTTCCAGAGAAATTCCAGTCAGATGCGCATTATTCAACTTTTGAAAATTATGTATCAGGACCACAGAAACGGCGAGAAGTAACTGCACGACAGCATTTCCCGCCAATTGTATATCAACACCAAGAGTAATAGTTTTATACCTCCTCAGTTCTCTGTGTTCTTGATGGTATCAAAATTGCCCATTGATTTGGGGCCTCTGCAGAAAAATTCTAGTCTGATGTGTCTTATTCATTTGCTGAAGATTCTGTATCAGGGTCGCAAAAACGACGAGAAGTATTTTCTCCAAGTGGCGCTTCCATACCTCCTCGCGTTTCTGTGTCCCTGATGGCAAAAATATTCATCGATTTGGTGCTTTTGCAGAGAAATTCTAGTCAGATGCGCATTATTCTAACTTCTAAAAATTATGTATGAGGATCACAGAAACGCCCAGAAGTAACTGCACGAAAACATTTCCCGCCAATTATATACCAACAGCAGGAGTAACAGTTTGGCACCTCCTCGCGTTTCTGTGTTCCTGGTACCAAACTTGCTCATTAATTTGGTGCCTCTGCAGAAAAATTCTAGTCAGATCTGTCTTATTCATTTTCTGAAGATTCTGGATCAGGATCGCAGACACGACGAGGAGTATTTTCTCCAATTTTATATCGGCAACAAGAGTGGCGGTTCCATACCTCCTCGCGTTTCTATGTCCCTGATAGCAAAAATGTCCATCGATTTGGTGCTTTTCCAGAGAAATTCTAGTCAGATGCGCATTATTCAACTTCTGAAAATTAGGTATCAGGATCACAGAAATGGCGAGAACTAACTGCACGATAGCATTTCCCGCCAATTGTATATCAACACCAGAGTAATAGTTTTATACCTCCTCAGTTTTCTGTGTTCCTGATGGTACCTCTGCAGAAAACTTCTAGTCATATGTGTCTTATTCATTTGGTGAAGATTCTGTATGAGGATAACAGAAACGGCCTGAAGTAACTGCACGAAAACATTTCCCGCCAATTATATATCAACAGCAGGAGTAACAGTTTGGCACCTCCTCGCGTTTCTGTGTTCCTGGTAGCAAACTTGCTCATTAATTTGGTGCCTCGGGAGAAAAATTCTAGTCAGATCTGTCTTATTCATTGTCTGAAGATTCTGTATCAGGATCGCAGACACGACGAGGAGTATTTTCTCCAATTTTATATCGGCAACAAGAGTGATGGTTCCATACCTCCTCGCGTTTCTATGTCCCTGATAGCAAAAATGTCCATCGATTTGGTGCTTTTCCAGAGAAATTCTAGTCAGATGCGCATTATTCAACTTCTGAAAATTAGGTATCAGGATCACAGAAACGGCGAGAAGTAACTGCACGATAGCATTTCCCGCCAATTGTATATCAACACCAGAGTAATAGTTTTATACCTCCTCAATTTTCTGTGTTTCTGATGGTACCTCTGCAGAAAACTTCTAGTCATATGTGTCTTATTCATTTGGTGAAGATTCTGTATGAGGATAACAGAAACGGCCTGAAGTAACTGCACGAAAACATTTCCCGCCAATTATTTATCAACAGCAGGAGTAACAGTTTGGCACCTCCTCGCGTTTCTGTGTTCCTGGTAGCAAACTTGCTCATTAATTTGGTGCCTCGGGAGAAAAATTCTAGTCAGATCTGTCTTATTCATTGTCTGAAGATTCTGTATCAGGATCGCAGACACGACGAGGAGTATTTTCTCCAATTTTATATCGGCAACAAGAGTGATGGATCCATACCTCCTCGCGTTTCTATGTCCCTGATAGCAAAAATGTCCATCGATTTGGTGCTTTTCCAGAGAAATTCTAGTCAGATGCGCATTATTCAACTTCTGAAAATTATGTATCAGGATCACAGAAACGGCGAGAAATAACCGCACGACAGCATTTCCCGCCAATTGTATATCAACACCAAGAGTAGTAGTTTTATACCTCCTCAGTTCTATGTTTTCTTGATGGTTTCAAAATTGCCCATTGATTTGGGGCCTCTGCAGAGAAATTCTAGTCAGATGCGCATTATTCAACTTCTGAAAATTATGTATCAGGATCACAGAAACGGCGAGAAGTAAAAGCACGACAGCATTTCCCGCCAATTGTATATCAACACCAAGAGTAATAGTTTTATACCTCCTCAGTTCTCTGTGTTCCTGATGTATCAAAATTGCCCATTGATTTGGTGCCTCTGCAGAAAGATTCTAGTCATATGTGTCTTATTCATTTGCTGAGGATTCTGTATCAGGATCGCAAAAACGACGAGAGGTACTTTCTCCAAGTGGCGCTTCCATACCTCCTCGCGTTTCTGTGTCCCTGATGGCAAAAATGTTCATCGATTTGGTGCTTTTGCAGAGAAATTCTAGTCGGATGCGCATTATTTTAACTTAAACATTATGTATGACCAAAGAAATTCTGGTCACATGCCTTGTTCAGCTACTATAAATTAGGATCACAGAAATGACGAAGAGTAAGGCATAGAGTTTGCATTGCCTGCCAAATCAACAGGTATCCTGATATTTTTTTATATATCAAGTTTAGGTGTGCCAAATAAAACAACTATTAAAACAAAAGCATTTTTATTTGAAGTACGAATCCACTTTGGCTTTTAACATCACTTATTCTGACACATTTTCCACTTAGTACCTATAATAATCCGGCTTGAAAGGTCCTTCAACCGGTACTCCAATGTACGACGCTTGCGTGGGAGTCAACTTGGTCAGTTTAACTCCCAAATGAGGCAAATGCAACCTCGCTACTTCCTCATCCAACGTCTTCGGCAACATGTAGACTCCAATGGGGTAATCCCCGGGCTTCGTCCACAGCTCGATCTGTGCCAGCACCTGATTGGTGAATGAGGTTGACATGACGAATGACGAATGGCCCGTGGCACAGCCGAGATTGACCAATCGGCCTTCAGCCAGCACAATCACGTGTCTTCCGGTTTCCAAGAGATACCTATCCACTTGGGGTTTGATGTTGATCTTCTCCTTGCAGTTCTTTTCAAGCCAATCCACGTCGATCTCGACGTCGAAGTGGCCTATATTGCATATTATTGCGTCTTCTGGCATCTGTAAAAATGTCAACTTTTAATATAACCGTTGAGAAAGCAGAAAAATTGGGTCGAACAGACTACTTGATACTTTTCATTTCCGTGTAAATTATACAAGCATTCATTTGAAAGCATTTACTTTTGATAAAACTGTTACAGATTCCGTGTTTGGAATACTCTGCTCTGGTTCATCCTATATTTGCCACCAAAAGAACATAAAACATCTGTCATTTTTCATGTCTTGTGTAATCGTCTGTCAATGGAAAGTTTTCTCTCATTTTGTTGACGTTTCCCGTGGTGTTACGGTAAATTTTCGAAGAGAGAAATTAAAATCATAACTGTCTGTAAAAAATGTTTCTATTTAAAGACAAAATGCAAAGGGCTCGGAATGTGAAGGAAAGGTATCTCGACCTTGGACACAATCAAATCAGGAAACGTAAGTCCCACAGGAAGCGATATACTTGACGTGAGGAAGAACTACATAGCTCCTAGATTTGTATTTAGAAAGAACTTCTAGACCATAATAAGGGATCCAACGAAATACTAAAGGCACTACTTGCAAGGGGAAATTACCTGGTACACAGACTGGTCAAAACCCAAACAGGGAACGCATGCAGGTATATATGGAAACAGATGTAACCCTTGACACAGCCTGCCAATTGGAAGACACGTTTATATTTCAGGTATGACATCTTGCGTTGCGCAAGAGTAAATAATGAGCAAGCAAGTGAATGCACTGGTGGAGCAAAAACCAACTCTAAGTAGTTACAGGCATTCTAATAGGACACCAGCGCAAAATATGTTTGATGAAGACTGCAGACAATGCGGAAAAGGAACAGAATCCTTTGCGAAAAAAAATTAGAACCGAGGGAGTTTAGAACAGAACGGTAGGAAAACTGTACCAATGGTACAGATCTGCTAGATTGTATACTGCATATTCGAAGAGCAAGGTACAATAAGATTGAAATGCTGCAGTGGCATCGGGGACTTTCGTCGATCGGCTCTCGGAAAGGAGAAAAAAGGCACGAGTAAAAACTGTAAGCAGTTGACAACACTAGCACGAGCTCCTTCAATCCGTGCAATATTTCTGCAGTGAGTGTAAAACGTATGGACCAAAAGAACATGAATGTATACAATAGTTTTGCAAAAGATTATAATACTTGGTTAACCCAGTTAACGACTCTTCGTCATCAACACGGATAAGCAAGGGTTTTTGAAAATATTATCACAGAAAACCTCGAAATACTTCCAAAATCTCCAACTTTTATTATAAGCAGGAATTTTGGGTGCTCAATTCAACAACAAAAAATTCACTTCCTCACCTGCAACATGTGATGTCCCAAGATAATGTCTTTACATCCTGTTGTTGTCACATATATCTGGCCAATTTTGCAAGCATCATCTATCGTTGTTACTTCATAACCTTCCATTGCCGCTTGTAGAGCATTTATTGGGTCTATTTCAGTAACGATAACTCTTCCACCAAATGCTCTTAGTGACTGTGCACAACCTTTGCCGACATCGCCATATCCTACAACATGATTTGGAATATTTAGTCAAAATATAAGGAGTGTTTCAATTTACCCTCAATAATACAATTTCGTTGTAATTACATATACGTCAATACAATTTTTCATTGAATTCTTAATTTCCTGGCATTAGTTAACATATTCGCCAAGAAGATATCCACCTTTATGCTGTATTTGGTCGTTCACATACAGTTTCCGTCGTCACAGCCGTGTAGAAGTCAAAGAAATGTAGACTCCGTTTTCTTTTTAACAAAAATTGTTTATTCTTATACATGATATCAACCTTCCAAGAAAACTTCACCCGTCAACTTCCCTCGTAATTATTCCTAAGAGCTCGCATTCTCAGAATTTCTCAACGACGGACAAGGAAATCCATAACAAGCGAAAACAATCCGAGTGGTAACAATCCTGACACGTGAAGATAGGGGCGACAGGTATATACATAGTTGTAAGCATAAATGGGGGGCAGTGCAACAGGTTTCAAATAAATTGATGTATCTTATGGTGGAGTACGTTAATCAATCCAGGCCTAAAAATCTTACCTGCAACTACACACACTTTTCCAGCCAACATGATGTCTGTTGCTCTTTTAATTCCATCAATGAGAGATTCTCGGCACCCATACAGATTATCAAATTTACTTTTTGTTACAGAGTCGTTGACATTTATGGCTGGTACTTTCAGTTTACCTTCTTTGAACATTTTGTAGAGGTTTTTTACTCCTGTGGTTGTTTCTTCACTTATTCCTCTGCCAAAAAAATTAACTCATCTCACAAACAAATTCAATAGAAAGTTTGGGGAAAATGACAAGTCACTAATAATTTTGAGGATACATAATATCATGATCCATACTTTTAAACTGGTAATCTTTGTAGAAGGTAATCAATATTTTCAGAAATGTCGTAGATTCTTAGCATTTTCCAGAATCCCAATAATCTCAAAAAGGAAAGTCAACACAGAGAAGCGATTCTTCTTATATAAACCTATTATGAGATAACTCTTAAGATGTTTTTTTTTAAATAAATTAAATTCTATAAGTATTTTAATGATTAATATGTACTACAATTAACGTTTTTAATAGAATGATTAAATTAAATTGCCTTCTGAAACCGGAATCCTTGAAAATGCCATAATAGTCAACATGTGAACAATGCGTTAAATACTCATTATATCTCTTGCTCTTGGATTCTTGGTTAAAATCTTGTAAAGGGTGTATATAAGAACGCAATATTTGAATTACCCACCATTTGGGCAGTCATAATGATTGTGACATGAGAGATCGATGGTAGACAGGCGGGAGTTTTTGAAAATGTATCACTGCACAATAGAACAGCGCATCCTAATTGTTAAACATTATTACCAAAGTGGTGAACGTTTAACTGCCACGATTCGAAAAGTGCTGCTAATATTCGGTCGGAATAATGTTCCTACCCCATCCACTGTTAAAAGAATAGTCAAAAAATTTGAAAGTACTGGTTCAGTTAATGATGTGAAACATGCTAGACGAGCTCGTAGCGGTCATTCAGAAGAAAATGTCAGAGCAGTTCGCGAGAGTGTAGCCGAGAGTCCAGGGACGTCGATTCGTCATCGCGCCCAAGAATTGGACTTTAAAACTCTCTAGCGTATTCGAATGAAAGATTTATACCTGCATGCCTACAAAGTCCAACTGACGCAACAGCTTATGCCAACAGACCATGCGCACCGAAGAGAATTCAGCAATTGGATGCTTGGCCAACAGGAAGTGAGTGGTGATTTTGTAGACAAAAGCAATGAGGCCCATTTTCATCCCGATGGCTTCGTCAATAGGCAAAACTGCCGCATTTGGGGCACAGAGAATCCAAGAGTAATTCATGAGAAAGCTATGCATCCAAAATGTGGCACTTTTTGGTGTGCACTATGGTCTGAAGGAATTAATGGACCGTTTTTCTTTGAGGACGAGGCATGTAATTCACTAACAGTGAATGGCGAACGTTATCGTGCAATGATTACTCAGTTTTTGTACTACAATTAGAAGCCATGGCTCTTAATGGCATATGGTTTCAACAGGATATTGACACATGCCATACTGCTCGTGAAACATTGGCAGTTTTGCACGAGTTTGCTCCTGGTCTAGACATCTCCCGGTTTGGTGACCAGAGTTGGCCGTCACGCGCTTGCGATTTAACACCTTTGGACTTCTGGCTTTGGGATTATTTGAAGTCACAAGTTTATGCTAAAAAACCTGCAGCCACCGAAGCATTGAAAGCTGAAATCAGAGGCTGAATCAATGAGATAGCCCAACATGTGTTCAAACATGTTAGCAGAAATTTTATTAAAAAGGTGCGAATGTGCCAGCGGAGCCGTGGCAGTCATTTACCTGATGTGTTGTTTCATACATAATTTTAAAGTATATACACTATAATCCAATAAATATTTCAGTTGTTTGTTATGAAATACCATGTTTTATAGAACCTTGGAATATTGTGTCCTAATTGAAACACCCTTTAGATCAGTAGGTCTGTCAAGTCTGGCTGTTTGGATACCAAAGTCAGGGGACAAGAAAAAAAAGGATAAAGAAGGGAAGAGGAAGATTTAAGAAAAGCATTGGAGGGGTGCCTTGCTATTGTTAAAAAGATCTAAGCGGTGAGCTTTTTTAATTGATTCTGACACTTACCTACAATCTTTTAAGTACTGAGGATATTTAGTATGTACTAGATTGGTCAGGTCCCCCCCATCATCGAGGATCATGTTAAATGGTTTCCCATCTGAAAAAATGAGTGTCTGTTCTATGCACCAAAGGTACTCTTCATCTGTTTCTCCTTTCCATGCATAAATGGCAAGGCCTTTCTTTGCTAGAGCAGCTGCAGCATGGTCTTGGGTACTAAAGATGTTGCAGCTTGACCATTGGATCTCTGCCCCCAGTTCAATAAGTGTTTCAATTAGCACTGCTGTTTGGACAGTCATGTGAAGGCACCCGGCAATTTTGGCTCCTAAAAAAGCTTTAATTATCAACATATTCAACCTGGTTAAATATTGTAATCAATATGTTTCAATAGAGCAGGGTGGCCAGGTGATGAAGATTTATGGACCACAAGATATTAATCTTACTACTATATCCAAGCAAGAAAGATTTTTTTTATTTATTTTTTGTCTTCCCAAAAGCCTTGCGAAAAATAACAAAATCCTTCAGTCTCAGTATTAAAGGTTAACTACTTAAAAAAACAACCATCAGTTTACTTCGATCAGCATACTGTTTACAGATCTACTACATGATAACCCTTTGCAAATATAACAAGATCATGGACTAAAATAATCATAACAATGACTGGTATTTCCAGGAATAGAGCATGGGAATACCAGTTCGAAGATTATAATTTCATACAATTTTTTCCAGTGCAAGTCTCATAATTGATTCGATGGCTAGCAATCACCAATGATGTGTTATGTATGATGTATAAAAAGTGGAATGAAGTGGACACTGTTATTAGTTACAAATTAATTACCACATCTTTTCAGATCATACTGAAATAGAATCTTTGATATCATAAATTTTAAATGCTGTATTTGAATCACAATTATCAATTAAAAAATGATATATGTGAGCAAAAGCCATAATAAATAGTAAGAGTTGATTCAGTGTTTTGAAACCAATTTTTCCAATAAAAAAGCTGCTGATAACATTCATATCCATATAAACATTCATGAATATAGTTGCAATTTGTCTATTATGTTGATAAAAAATGTAGTCTTGCAAAAACCCTCAATTTGATCTGAAAGTTTTTTATGTTTACTTGGAAAAATATGATATGATGAAATTGGTACAATGATTATTATATTTTATCACTTGGAATAAACAAATTAATTTTTTATAAATTTCTTGCGTCAATTACTGATGCAATGTTTTAACTGTAATACTTAATGGACAAAATATTATGCTTGTTTCCCTGAATTTACGAGTGTAATGCCTTTTTGTTTTAATTTCCATCTCATGTAGTTAATTGCATGTGTTGTGTTTAGAATGTTTTTATCCTAGATGTTATGCTATCTACTAGATACAGTAAAAAACAGATCATTTTTGCATGTGGCACATCTTTTAGAGGATGCCCATATTTTACAGGAAAGGGGCCGTTCAAGTATTACGTGAGCACTATGGGGGGCTTTGCTTATTTTGGATCACATGGCGGGTAGGGGAGTCTAGATGATGATTACGTCATCGGTAGTTATTTACTTTTTTACACGAATGGCAACCCTCACATTGTCTTTGCTTGAAAACGAAACGCATTTTCGGGGATTCCCGCAAATAATGCATACGTTTAGTGAACAGCGCGCGGTAATTCCCCTACTCACTTTAGAACAGAGTAGGGGAATTACCGCGCGGTGTTCACTTGTCTAAATTTCCTCTATCAGTGTATTGTTTCGCATAGTAAAGCAAGTTAACATTTGTGTTACCATTGATTCCATTAGCCAAAGTTTAATGTTTAAATAAGATGTCGTTTCACATAGACAAATCCAAGTTATACCAAAAATTGTTTGAAAGTTTTAAAAAATCTCATACAAGTACGAAAGTACAAAATGTACAAAAGTTAGTCAACGAAGTGTGGCGAAATTACAAATTACAAGCAAAATCCGACAAGGAACTAGATATTATTGTATCTAAGAGAATCGAAGAAGAATTGCTAGCGGCGACTAAGAATACATCCAATCTACTAAATTTTTTTTCTAAGGTGAATGACGAAATCATTTTAGGTACCTATGAGTAATATAAATATTAGAAATCGCCAAAAAGTTGCTCTTTACTGATTAGAAAATATTATGGCCTATCTTAAAGTATAGAGGTAATATTCATTATATTATAGATTTATTTCTTATGATTGATTCCGTCAATTGGTCACAAAGTACAGGATGTTAGTTTTATACATATATACAGAAAACTAACACCCTGTATTTTGTGACCGGAACGAATTGCTTGTTTAAACATATTAGATTTAAAGCCATAGGGTTTTGTATTTACCATATATATTGCCATACTTTGTATTTATGTAGCTTAATAAGAGAATATTTAGCAGAAGCCATAGAAAGTTTTCATTTTTAGGCAACCTGTAAACCTGCAGAAAAAACACGAATTATACAGTCAGCTTCAAATATTAAAAAAGAGGAAGAAGATAAAAAAAACGGTAATGAATCACAACAGCAATGCGAAATTAATGAAAATACAGATAAACAGAGAGCAAAACCTTCTCAGGAAGCTATGAAAAATAAGATTGATCTACTCGAAAAAAATCTGAATGCTTTGTCTTCTGTCAGAGATACTATGCCAAGCCGTGCTGAAGTGGATAAACAGATCATTAAGTTGCGCGAGTAAATAAAAACAGCAAAACAGAAGCCCAGCAGAAACAGGGATGGTATGAAAAGAGAAAAAAAAGTTAGAAGATATTTGTCATGAAAATCCAGAAATAAAAAAAAGACTATCTCTGAGGGATTCAGTGGGACGTCCTAATCTTGAAAGCAATCAACATTCACTACTGAAAACAATCGCAGATATAGCTTTATTTGGGAGTGCAGCAGATGATAGAAGACGAACGGAATCAATTCGCAGCATAAAAACTCTTGATGAACTCACACAAGAATTACGTAAAATAGGATTTGACATTAGTTGCAGTGGGACACATCTTCGTTTGATTCCCAGAAAATCTAATTCTGCAGAGGGTCGAAGACATGTATCGACAGTCCCTGTTAAGCTCATTCAGGCTCAAACTGATCACCACAAGAGCCACTTATATAGCAAGTTCGCTGAAACATCAATCCATTATTTAGAGAACATAGCATCCATACTTGGACCAGATCAAGTATTTTTCATATCTCAAGATGATAAAGCTCGAGTCCCTATTGGCATAACTCCGCCAAATAAGCAAGCACCTCTTCTAATGCACATGGAATATAGAATCAAATTGCCTGATCACGATTGGGTAATCGCTGAGCGTCATAAATTGATACCATCTATTTATGCTGGTATCAAAATCACTTCCAATGTGCTAGGACAACCGCAAGCCGTTGGATATTCTGGACCAACATACATCGCTATTCGAAGTGGGACGCATAGTTCATCTACTGCTAATACTCATGCTCAGGATTTCGAGACGCTTCTCGAACTTGAAGAGTTTCGACCATTAGCTAAAACTGACCATGGACTAGTCGGGAACTGGCTGGTTTAATATTGCCTCATGACCATTTTGGGTCTCATTTGGATGAACGTGGCGTTACAATTGATGAACATTTATAGAAAGATCTAATTTCGAATTTGCAGGAAATGTATTAGCTGAAGTATGGAGTTCAATGGAAATTGATGGCTATAATGTTAATGCAAAATATGTTATGGCAGGTGAACAAGATTTTCCTGATTTTCCAGACATTAAATGATATTCAGAACATGTGCGTGAGAGTCAACACTTGCTTCAAATTGTAAAATGTAGAAATACAGAATGCTGTTGTCCAAGAAGTGGCCTATTTAGATTACTAGACAATAGGTTTCTTCCACCACCTGTACAAGTAAAACAAACAGTTGATGACTTGGTTTTGGATGAAGGAGGGCAATTTCTTAATCTTCCAGTCAATTTAGCTCTACGCTTAAGTGCTTCCCTCAAAGATTTCCTCCAAATGCCCTACGATTATTTTTGTCCGACGGCAAAATTGAGGCTATCAAGTCGAACATGCAAAACGTGTGGTCTTTATCATGCTTCCGTCAAGTCACTAAATCGTCACATCGAAAATATCCATAAAAAAGTAAACACGCACACTGATAGGAAAGTTAGACCTGTAAGAGTCGCTGCTCGTCGTGCTAATGAACTGATGTGCATTATTCAAATTTTAGAGCAGCATGATGTTGAATGGCTCGATGAGAACGACGTAGACATTACAAAATCCGATGAGAGCAAGCAACACTGAGTAGCAATCCAATGTCATCGAAAACTTAGAAAGATCGATGCTTCGAGATCGCTTTTTAAAAAGTTTATTTTTCGAAAATACAAAACTCAAAACTGTACTTTTACAAAATTATTACAATGTAAACAGTACAAAAGCTTAAATCTGACTGACTGTAAAATGTGTTGAGAACAATAAAGTAAACTCTAGGTCTTCTAGGAAATTAGTAGCATCGTCGGCAGTATTCCTATCATATCAGCAGGAACGGCTGATATAACTCCTCCCCCCTGAGATTCAACTTCAGGGAAGAATTCTTCAAGGAAGTTGAATAGGATGAAGTTCGACTTCTGGTTGTTGAATACTTCTATTTCTGAGCTTCCTCCTCTTCAAAATGGTTTTCCAGAATGCGTAGACACCCAAGAGTAATATACATCCATATATTATCAGTGTCCAGGCACTGGGTATAAAAAATTCTGTAGGTTTTTTGAAGTTGGGTTTGTTGTTGATAATGCTTGACTTGATTTTACTTAACTCGTCTAGCTTAATTTTTTCTAGATGCAGACTGAAATTTGTTTCTGTGATGTCGCCTTTAGTGTCCAGGTTTAAATCCGGGAATATTATAGGTTGGCCCGCGACAATCGTTTCGGGTTCATTTTTGATGATTTGGTGATTAATTTCGGCTTGACAGTTGACAGGAATATAAAGTAGGTAAGTTCCCGTCAATCTTTTCATTTGCATTTCTTCGTGGCATTCCATTTTGATAACTTCTGGTAGTGGCAGGATCAATACCCATTGATTAGTCCGTTGGATTCGTTCGATACTTGGCTGATTGATTATCAGTGGAGTTCGGGCACATGCAGGGGCGTTTCTTCCATTGAATAGTTCAAGTTCACAGGGTAATGGACCATTAATGTCTCGCAAGATGGTCTTCTCGCAGAGAAACTTTTTAGGAGCAATTTCAGTACAAATGTCGCCGAAAAGTGCAAAGTGCAATTCATTTTTTACCAAATAAGGCTCCTTTGGAATGATAGTCCTAAATTGACCTTCAAAATATATCGGGATTGGAAAGAGACGATATAAGTTAAATGACTCATAGTATGAGATTGGGAATGATAAAACGAATGTAATTTTGTTGCCCACAGAATAACTGGAGATTTTGATTATCTTTTCAAAAGTTGGTATGTTATCTAGTAAAACTGGAATCGCAAATTTTTCCTGGCCTAATCTTGAGCTCAATAGTTTCAGTTCACCAAAAATTTCTTCGGTTGTACTAATGCTAGAGTGAATTGTTCCAAGACGTGCAAAAATTATTGAATTTTCAACGTCTTGTAATATTGACAGAGTTACTTCGTAGCTGTTCATAATTTGAGATACTGTGTCTACTATGAATTTATGCTGATCTGAATCGATTGTAGTACGATGAACAATTGCATATATGGTATTAATTTTATTATTCAGCAATTGTTCATTAAGACAGATTTGCTGAACAGTTTTATTGAACTTATCAATAAGAGATACTGACAGTGCATTATTCTGTGTGACACTGTCAGTCAATTCTCTTTGATTATTTTGAAGCTCTCGATTTAGATTTTCGAAACGTTCGCCATCATTGGCGTCAAGGTTTTCAGTTATTGATTTGAATATCGACCCAATGCCATTTAATATGCCTCTTTTTCCTCGCTTTGTATGGGGAAATATATTATGTAACTTTTGTTCTACCTGTCGCTGAACAAATTTTAATGTTCTGAAATAATTGGACAAATATGTAGTGACATTTAAATTTGAAGAAATGATTTCTGCTATACGTGAGGAGGAAATTGATAATTTTTCAATTTCAGAAATGATGGGATTCATATCATAATAATGAATGAGTGAAAAGTCATAGTCTTTTACTTTTGCTTCACCAATTTCCACGGGAAGTAGTCCTGGATTGTTGTCGAGGTTACGTATAGTTATGCTATCCTGAAGTCCAACCGTTACTTGCAGGAATCTGCAAATGAATAATACCTACATGTATGTATGTCGTACTTGGAGAGAAACATTTAGTTGCTAAATGAATATGGTTTGCGAAGGGGACGCTTCAAATTATCGATATGTACTTTATTGTGTTTATCAGTAGTAGCGGTCTTTTTACCAGGATCGACTGATGTTAGTGTACATGATTTTTGGAATTTATTTGCATTTTTCTGACGTATATTTTTCTTAACGAATGCTTTCTGACCTGGTTGAAATATTTTTGCACTATCTCGAGCTATGTTTGCCTTTTCAATTACTTTTTCTTTATTTTGAACAAGCGCCTCGTTGATTTTGGTATATAATAGCTTACTGCGTGCTTTGTGTTGTTCTACATAATCATTCAACAAAATTTGGTCTAAGCTGATGTCAAATGTATCTTTTTCACTGAGATGACCATTTATGACATCGATGGGTTTTAATTTAGTCACAGAATGAACAGAGTTGTTGTATGCTAAGATTGCGCATATCATTTTCATTTGGACAGATGTTTTTTGAAAGCCTTGAGTGTTTAAAATTCGGAGTTGCTCAGATATTGTCGAATGAAATCTTTCGACTACGCCATTTGACTGGGGATGGTTCGGGGAACAGAAATGTATTTCGATTCCATTAGGTTTACCTAATAACTCGGATATGACTGAGTTTTTAAACTCGGTGCCATTGTCAGTAATAACTTGTGTCGGGATTCCATGATGGGAAAAGTATCGGATAAGTGCCTTTTCAGACACACGCGGTTTCCGTTTATACGGCGACCGCATACACGGATGTAATCGCTTCACAACTACAACGGTTTTCGTCCGGTTACCCATTGTGACATCAATAGCAGTGTCGGGCTGGTGTTCATATTGGCAGTATGGATAGAAAAAAAACTATAGCTTTATTGTTTTTGTACAGACGTCGCTTGCGTCGTAGTAGAAAAACATGGGAAAGAATATATTGGATTCATCCATATGTTGCCAAAAGAAGGGAATTAGGTGATTTTTATACGAAGTTTATGGATCTCCGAGAACATGAGGATAAGTTCTTCATCTACTTTCGAATGTCAATTAAATCATTCGATGAATTACATGAACGATTAAAACCATCATTACAAAAAAAGAACACGGCCATGAGGGATTGTATTGAGCCTATACAAATGTTGTGCGTCACGCTTAGGTGAGTAAATAAAGTTAAATATATATTTTGTAAATTCTGTTTAATTACATGTACTAACAAACTGAAAAATATTAACTCATTTCAAATAACAGTTTTAATAATAACGGTATAATCGACAACTATGTGAAATCTAAATCCGCGTACACAGAATCCTGTGTAGAAGCACTATCAACTGAAGATGGATTTTCCGCTGTGGGGTTGTATTGTTCAAAATATTCACGTGCGTTTGCCTCATGTGGATAATTTGTTGTAGTATATGCGGGCATGTTTCTGTTAATACAGATTCCTGAAGGAGTCGCAGGTGGCTCTTTTGGCAATGACAAAGTAGAACGGTGAACATGTTCTGTACTATTTTGTCGATTAATATAGTTGTCATATACAGAAGTTCCGGCACATGGAAGTGGCTGGTTTGATTGAAACCGCCTCTGCTTGATATTGGTAATTAATCGTAAAACGCCAGTCTGAAATTGTAAAGTTTCATCGTCTGTGAAGGTATGTAACGATGGGACGATACCTTTAAAAAATGAAATATGACGATCTTCTGGCTGTTCTAAAGCTTTAATCATCCTGAGTTCAACGTCGTCTATTTTTCTTTTTCGAGAGCCAAGTTGCTTTCGAGGAGGTGATTTAAGCTGGGTATTATTATTTTCAGTATCAGTTTCTGAAACATCGGCGTCGGAAGTTGCTTGGACGGGATTGGCAGATAAACTATCTTCAGTTGATCTATGCGTAAATATTTTGGTTAGAAACTTCAGTTGTTCAGCATAAATGTATTTGCTTAAAGTTGAGGCACCAGAACCAGACTTTTTGAACGATTTTTCTTTCTTCAAAAACTTGTTAAATGCATCCCGAATGTTGACCCACCTCTTTACAACCTCTTTACCTGTAAATACAAAAATAAATAATAGAAACTTTCTCTTTCTAGGTATTTGGCGAGCGGATGTACATTTACTGACTTGCACCTTCAGTATAGACTTGGCATTTCAACCATCAGCGGTATTGTTAAAGACGTTTGTTCTACTATATGGTGTTTAATGTTGGGAGAGTGCATACCTCCACCTACTAAAGATAAATGGGAATCGATTTCCCCAGAATTCGAAACACGAGCCAATTTTCCTCATTGTATAGGGGCAGTCGATGGAAAACATATTAGAATCAGTAATCCCTTAGGTTCCATGTATTATAACTACAAAGGTTATTCGTCTGTAGTTTTAATGGCTGTTGCTGACGCAAATTATCGCTTTGTGTATGTAGACATTGGGAGTTACGGAAAAGATTGCGACTCATCGATATTTAAAAGATCATCTCTTTGGACATCAATTATTAATAATGATCACGAAATACCTATTGAAAAAACTGTTACTGGAATAGACAATTGCAAATTACCTTATTATTTCGTTGGAGACGAAGCATTTGCCCTCCACCAGCATTTACTTCGTCCATTTGGGGGATCTCAACTTACAATAAAAAAAAGAATTTTTAATTATCGTCTAAGTAGGGCTCGGAGGTAGGTGGAATGCACATTTGGACTTTTAAGTAACAAGTGGAGGATATTGCACAGAGCGATAAACCTGGAACCTGACTTTGCAGTAATCATAGTTAAGGCATGTGTCGTTTTGCATAATTTTGTGCGCGACAGAGATGGATACCAGGTTGAGGATACAGATGTAATTGTAGGCCTTGATGAACTACCAAGAGAGCGGGAAACACGTGGAGGATTACCAGCAAATAACGTGCGAAATATTTTGAGTGATTATTTTATGTCAAATGTAGGAGCTTTACCTTGGCAAATGTTAAAAATATAGAAAATATGTGAACTTACCATATTTATTTTTTTCTTCCTCACTATAAACATGGAAATCGCTGTTCATTTCTATACAGACTTCTTTCCACGCTTCCTTCGTCTCATTTCTGTTCTTATATATTGGTGATGTTTTATCCCATAATATAGGACGAGCTACTATCAAAGCAATTAATAACTCAGTATCTAGTTCTTTTGACATTATATTTTATATTAAATAAATACGTATACACGCCGCTGTTTAAACAGGAGCCTATACGACCGTGTGTATGTGAACGAACTCATGCATAACCAATATCTACTAGCTCTACGGCCGCCGTGAAGGAACCGCGACCGTGTCGACTTGCACGGCCGCACTACGGTAACGGCACGGTCACGGCGACATCTGAAAGCGCTCATTCAAATACATGTATTACTAGAACCGTCACGGAACCGTTTATACGGAAACCGTGTGTGTCTGAAAAGGCACTAAGGTTGTCAGCTACTTCGGTACCTGTCATTGAATTGAGATGGTAAGCTTGAGCGTACTTTGAAAAACTATCGATAATGGTCAAAAATTTAGATTTTTCAAATGTGTATGTGTCCATGTGAATTATTTCAAATGGCTTCACAGCAGTGGTAGTGATATTCATTTGCGCTTTAACAGGGTGTCTCTCGTATTTGGCTTGTTGACAGATTTCGCAGTCATTTATGTATGACTGAACGGAACGTTTCAAATTTGGCCAATAGTACTTTTGTTTTAAGCGAGAATAGGTTTCATCGATCCCGCGATGATTTGATTTCCTTTCATGATAATTTTGTATTAAACTTTTAATTTCATCATTACTAGTGATGTCTAGAAGTTTTTCAAGACACCTTTTAAACTTGATAGAGGGCCATTTAAAATACTTTTGTAAAGCGCCTGAGAAGGGTTCGTATATGTCAGGATCTTAATATATATAGTATGGGACATCGGGTACAATATATTCCTTGACAAAATTTACAACATCTGATTCAAGGTTGTTCTTTGAAATTTGCACTAATAGCCGCTGTTTTCTCTCGAATAAAATTATGATTTTCGGCTTGGTGGGAGAGTGCAGGACCGTTTTAATTACGACCTGATTTTGGCCAAAGTTCAATGGTTGGTCTGATATAGGAATTGTAACAACCGGGTGTTGATTATTAGAGTGCCGGGTTTCATCATCCTTGTCAAGTTCGTCTTCATTAGTATTGGTTTTGTCAATAACAAAAGGAAGTTCGTGGTAGTCAGTTTGTTCTGTTTCATTGATTATATCTTTGTCAGTATTTGTATTGTCAACGGTAGGAAGTTCCTGACAGTCAGGTTGATCTGTTTCATTGTCCAAGTTGACAATCATTGAGATATCGTCTAGTTCAGGGTTTAAATTGGGGTAGCTAATATCTTGAATTATCAGTGGTGAATTTGGATTAGCTTGTGTCGTGGGAGGTGTGTTTAAATTTTGATCTACAAAGGTAATTCTTTGATTCTGATAGTTGGAGGCTTCTCCAAGGAAGTCATCGAGTTGTTCCCAAAAATCGTTAGTTTCCTTAGTATGAATTTCGATTCTAGAAAGAGCGTCAGCATTTGTATTGAGTTTGCCTTTTTTATAGATGATTTTGAAATTATATTCGTCAAGTTTCATTTTCCATCTCATTAATTTTGAGGAGACGCCTTCCTTTAATGAATAAAGGTACTGGAGGGGTTTATGATCTGTTATAATATTGAAGGTCTGCCCATAGAGGTAAGGTCTGAAATATTTGGTAGCCCACACTATAGCTAACAACTCTTTTTCGGTAGTGCTGTAATTTCTTTCCGAATCATTTAAGGTTCGTGACGCATAAGCTACAGGCAAATCACTACCGATTGGACCCTGACTAAGAACTGCCCCTAAAGCTACATTGCTTGCGTCAGTTGTCAAATTGAACGGTCTTGTGAAGTCTGGGTACTGAAGTATTGGGTCGTTGGTAAGTAATGTCTTACAGTTTTCGAAACATGATACAAATTCGTCGTCGTGAACAATTTTTGCGCCTTTTTTGAGGCACTTAGTGAGAGGTTTCGTGAGTTGTGCGAAATTTGGAATAAATCGCCGATAATAGCCTAAGAGTCCTAAAAAGCTTTTTATTTGCCTATTAGTTTTTGGTATAGGGAAATTTTGTGTTGCTGAGATTTTGTCGGGGTTAGGTTTCACGCCTTCAGGAGTTACTATATGTCCGAGGTATGCAACCTCTTTTCTTAGAAACTCGGATTTATCTAACTGAATTTTAAAGTTAGATTCGCGTAGTCGGGTAAAGACAGATCGTAGCCTTTCTAAGTGCTCTTGAAGAGACGTCGAAAATACGATAATGTCATCGAGGTAAACGAGACATTTTTCGTTTTGAATTCCTCGGAGGATGTTATCTATCACTCGTTGGAACGTGGCTGGTGAATTTTTAAGACCAAACGGCATTCTCAAAAATTCCCAATGGCCATTTTCGGTGTTAAATGCTGTTTTTTCAATGTCTTTCTCATCCATTTCTATTTGGTGAAAACCACTAGCAAGATCCAACGTACTGAAATAGTGGCATCTTCCTAGTTTGTCCAGCAGGTCGTTTATATTGGGAAGTGGATATTTGTCATCAATAGTCTTATCGTTAAGATTACGATAGTCTATTACGACGCGCCATTTCTGTTTGCCAGAGGCATCCATCTTCTTAGCCACAACCCAAATGGGCGAGCAATATGGCGAATTACTTTGCCTAATAATTTTCGATTTCAACATTTTTTGAATTTGGTCATTTACTTCTTGTCGGTGAACAAAGGGGTACCGGTAGGTCTTGGAATAAATTGGGATCTCATCAGTAGTTCGAATCTGATGCTTTATCTTGTTTGTGAAAGTTAGTGGTTCGCCTTCACGATAAAATATATCCGAAAATTCTTTGCAAAGTTTGAGGATTGCGGACTGTTCTTCTGAATTTAGGTGGTCTACTCTAATTTTGGAATAGTCTAGTTTATTGGCTGGAGAATCGTTGATATTATTAAGATCAAATTCTCGACATATCGTCGGATGTATAGACTGGTAAAATGGTTCAACAGAAAGGGGTTCAGAAAAGTCGAGTGTAACGGTATCTGTCGTATTGTTCCGTAAGGTCGTCAAAGCATAACTATCTTTCGCAATAGTCAAGCACTCCGGTATTTCACAATTATGGATTTTTTGGTGGGGTATAATAATTTCGCCATCGTTTATGGATGTTTTAACTTTTATGACAAGCTCAGTGCGAGGTTCGATGGAAACAAAATTCAAATTATTCTTAGGTTTTTGATAAAGCAACTTGATGTTTGCATACGGTGTCACAAGAAACCCTTCTTGAAATAAGAGTCTTGCCTGTAATTCTTCTAAGTTATCCATACCGATCAAACCATTGAAAAAATCATGAAACTTGAACAAGTAAAATTTTAATTCCTTTAGATGAGGCAAATTGAAAATTTTGGATGCTGGTATTAAAGTACTGAATTTATGGGCGGATTTCTGAAATACAGACGAAACAATGAATGGTTCATTTTTGATTTGTTGTGGAAAATATTTGAATGCGATGTCTGGATCTATAAATGACCTAGTAGACCCGCAGTCAATCAAAAGTTTTATGTCATATTCGGGAAAAACTATATAGCTCAATCCTTTTGTGTTGCTAGCATTGAACGATATAATTTCACTGTTTATGTCGGTTGAATAACCTGGCTGGCTGGGGGAAAATTTTCATTTCCTGACGTCGAGGTTGGGTTGGGCATGTCAAGTTCATTATTTTGATCGGTATTGTAATGATCGTATTGACAAATATTTTGGTTGGGGTCATCAAAGAATTCATCGTAATTATTTTCGACGTTAGTAGCAAAATTGCCTGTATCATAAGTTTCATATGTTGCGTTATCATTTAACTCGGTGTTATACAGTTCCTCAAAGATAAAATTTTGCTGAGGTCGAGGTGTGTTCGCCGGAATTGGAGCGAATGGTGGACGTGTTGTGTTTCTTGTGCTGACACTCATCGGTGTCGGCCTGGGAAGATTTCTTGGATTTGAAGAATTGGGCTTAAAAACGTTTGTATTCGGATTCTTTGTTTGTTGGTTGCCAAAGACTTCAGCGTTAGTCGGGAAACGCCGATTTAAGTTTGGCCTAGGTTGAATTTGAATGGGTTGAGATGGGAATTGCGCACGGAAAAAGCTATTAGGCGTACGAGAATTAAAATTTTGATAAGGCATATTAACTGGGCGTGCAGGTCTGAACTGCGAATTTTGAAAATTTGTAAAATTCTGTGAATCTGTCTTAACTCTATATGAAACGTTTTGGAAATAATGCACATTTTGTTCTTCAATCACTAATTGAAGAGCTTCGCTCAAGGAGGTTGGTTTCATGCACCTGACAGTGGTGCCCAATGGTTCTTTCAAGCCTGAAAGGAAAGTCTTTAACGCAAGTTTTTGATACAAATCGCGTTTTATTGCTTTACCACTTTCGGTAGCTTCGTGGATATTAACGTAGCTACACAGATTGTTTAAAATATGCAAACATCTTTCGTTAAATTTTTGAGGGCTCTCATTTTGATATTGCTTTAGTAAGCAAAGGTCTCTATGTAAGCCCACTTCATCACGTTGGTCAGAAAAACTAGTAACTAATAAAGTTTCGAGTTCACTCCAGGTGTTCACTGAATGAATGTTTATTAAAGATTTGGCATGTCCTCTCAGCTTTGAAAGAATGGAGTTCAATAAAAATGTATTTTGAAAATTGTTTGGATTGGAATGATCATAAAAATTGTCAATCAAGGATTTGCTTACACGCAACACGCCGTCAAATTCGGGCACACAACTTAAGTATTCGGGCCTAAAAGTAGCCATAGTTGTAGTAATACTTGTAGGTATTGAATGTACAGGGACTTGTGAAAGTATGGGCTCACGTAGTATATTAGAGTACCGTCGAGTATTTGGAGAGTCAGTATTAAGGTCCAAATTCTCAAGGGCTTGCGATATATCAATACTCATTGAAATTTGAAGCGATAAATGGAAAAAAAATAAACTGCACTTACAACACTAAGAAAGCGATCTTTAGCATCTCTTACTCCTATAAAGATCCTAGCTGGTTCTGCAATGTTGTCTTCCCCAGGCTGGAATCCTTGCGAACTTGGGCAATGTCGCCGGTTCCTCGATGGATTGGGTATCCAAAAATATGAATCCACTCCAGTGCTCACTGCCACTACACGAATGCGACCAAGTCCAAAAAGGCCGGATAGAGTCCCGAAAAGTCCCGTCGCGACGGTTTGCGAAAGTCTTTCCCGGGTCGCGTATTTCTGATCCTACTGGATTGACTGGGCCAGTTATAAGATCGATGCTTCGAGATCGCTTTTTAAAAAGTTTATTTTTCGAAAATACAAAACTCAAAACTGTACTTTTACAAAATTATTACAATGTTATTACGATGTAAACAGTACAAAAGCTTAAATCTGACTGACTGTAAAATGTGTTGAGAACAATAAAGTAAACTCTAGGTCTTCTAGGAAATTAGTAGCATCGTCGGCAGTATTCCTATCATATCAGCAGGAACGGCTGATATAACTCATGGATTCGGGTTTAATGGACTGAAGACTTTTAATTTGAATTTAATATATGTACCAAAAATTTAAAATAAATTTGTTATGTGAGTAAGATATAATATTTTTGTCCTTTACTCTATTTGAATACCGTTTCAGTAAAATATAATCACTATCCTAAATCTATTTTCTTATTTTTCATATTCTAATTATAACGTTATAATTATAATATTTAAAAAAAAACAATACATTAATTGACAAATGTTTACATAAGCATGGGGGGGGGGGGGTAAGAGCTTTGCTTACTTCTGCTGACAAGGGGGATGGGGGGTAAATAATTGTAATTAATCTGCTTACGTAATACTTGAACGGCCCCAAATCATAAATGTAGTCTTATTTTCAGTGTTGTTCTCGATAGATTTTGATTTGTGCAAAGATGTAAATAGAAATTGTACATATTTCTTTCAAACTGTGCATATATGTATACTGATTTTCTGGCTGCCATTGCAAAAAACTGAAATTTCATGGAACCTTTTATTGTTTAATGAGAATTTAAGAAAATAATACAAGAATAAAACAATATTTACTTATTAAATATAACTAAGGCCATCAATTATTATGAACAATCATCAGGAGTCGGATGCGTAACAAGTAATGACTGGATGCGTAACAAGTAAAGACTGGATTCATATTATGTATGTGTCTAACAGTACATTTCACTTGTGCGGCTGTTAAGAAAATGTATTACCAGTTTTGTATGAAAAAAATGCACTTTATTTATTGGCGATTATGTATACTTTGTGTGTGGGGTGCATATTGTGCATATGTTGGTAAAATTGTGCATAATATGCATTCAGATAACACCGAGTAGATTAGTCTAGGCCATACTTCACACAGCTCTAGCTTGTGGCAGCTAGGTGCAACTTAATGTAACCAATGACTGGTATAAAATTCGTAGTCTACAGCCAAGTATACAAGAAGGTAATGACTGGTAAAATTGACACTTTACTATTTATCTTTTATTATGTTATTACTGTGGTATCAGCAAATTGTAGATATTGCTTTCATAGTAATAAAAAAGTTCTGAAGCACTGTAATCATCAAAAATCTAAGAAATGTGTTACGTTAAAGAATTGTGATCCTAAGGCTGCTAGATTTCACTTATTTTCTCAAAGACACAATGTCTATGTCTGCATGCCTGCTAAATTGGGTAGTGGTCTGCACGCAGGAGTATCTACTGTGTAATTTGGAAAATAAAGAATTGTTGGGGTTCAAGCATTATTTTCACAAGCACCCTTTCACTCTCTAAACCAATATTAAAAAACAAGAAATGTAGCTTGAAGCAACCATTCAAACGTGATTAGGGCGATAGGTTTCAAAACTTACCTTTGAGAATCTTGTTGTTAGCATACTTCTTTCTCAAACTCATGAGACCCGGCATTTCGTTCTCAGCCAGAGTGATGTCTTTTCTACCCCATTCAGCCAAGCTTAGATCGGCAACTTTATATGCTGGTTTCGACATGGTTAGTTAGAATAAACTGAACGGTGTTACGTTTGCCGCGATTTATACTCTTTCAACAACAGCCGGTATTTATTTTTAAAGCGGGTGAAACACGTGTGTTCCCCCGTTAAATGATCTTTGATCTTTTTTCCACTTTCTAAATAGGTTATGTTTTTGACCGTTATCTCTTTTCTTGACAGCTGCGGCTGAGACATCTCTTAGTCAAATGCAGAAACTATGCGATTTCTGTAGATAAGCTATGTAGCTTGCTGTTCAGCATAATTGAATAATTTAAAGAAATGCGAACAGGTGACGCCACTATCGCACTGGTTGTGTAAGTTCCTGCTGAAAGAAATTGGTTTCTCACAATATCGTCAACAGGTGGCGCCAAAACAAAGGATGTGATGCCATCTACACAGACTTTAATTTTAGTCAGCTATGTGTTTTGTGGCTAAAGCTGGCCACAGACCTTCAGACGGTTAGTGGATTAGTAGTTCGTAGCAGCCAGGACCGTAGTTAGAAATACGATGATAAAGCAATAGTAAAAGATTTGAAAAGGTGGGCAGCTCGGTTAACTCTTCAGAAAACAAAACAAAATAATTATAATCCCAACATTTTGTGATCGAAAAAGGGTTAACTGGAAAGTTTTTGACAAATTTTGTATAGGTGATGTTCGTATTTTTTTCACTCGAGTTGCTATACAGTAAATTAGCTCCCAAAAACAGCTTTTCGCAATATTGCCTATTTGACTCATTTCACGATGAAAATATCTAGATGATAGATTAATCTATCGGTGGTTTTCTACAGTTTACTTATTCAGTTTCCTGTAATATGAATATACAGGGCGGCCCACCGAAAATGTCGCACCCCTATTTGTGACTCACCTGGTACGTTTTGGGAAAAACACTCACACAAGTTAATTTTGATTTCTAGATTGATTTCTTTTCATCTATAGCAGTACAATATATACAGGATGAACCAAAAATAAGATATTACGTTACACCTTAGATTTTTAAATGAAAATCCTCTTTTTTAATTTTTAGATCCTACTTGAAATTTTTAGTAACTTTTGTATAGTAAAGTTTATACCAATCTTCAAGCTGAGTGTATAATGAAATTCTAGAAATTGTGATAATAAGGGATTACATCGTATAGACCATAATCAATATAGTTCCCATAGTAACAAGACTACTTTAAAGTTAAAAACAAGTCTCTCAGTATTAAAATAGAAATAGCCGTTCTGGGACACGTATCACTTGACGTCACCCAAAGCAATCGTGGACTGGCTACTTCTTCAGGAGTTACACGCTCAACAGTACAAATAATTTTTGAAGACAAATTACACTCGAACAAGATAAAACTTGTCCATGAGCTTAAAGAAGACAATTTTGTTAGAAGGTTGGAGCTTTGCGCGAATTAATGTCCCAACGTTTAATCAACAATACAAATCTGTTATTTAATATTTGTTTCTCGGATGAGTGTACGTTCTATTTACATGGTGCTGTAAATAGACATGATTGTAGATATTGGAGTAACTCGAATCCACATTTTTTTCGAGAGGTACACTCACAATATCCTGAAAAAATCAATGTGAGCCGGCATTTTTTGAAATCATATTGTAGGACCTTTCTTTATTCCTGGAAGCTTGACGTACCTACTTGCACATGTTAAAAAATACAATAGAGCTACGAATTACCGGAATGATAGAAAATGTCGTTAATTATATTTCCATTTCCAACAAGATGGTGCACCGCCACACTAGCTCTATTTTACGACAGAAGTAAAGTAAACTTCTTAGTACGAAGCCAGATTCCAATCAAAATCTTCTTCAGCGGATTACTGCTGAATGTAGACATGCTTGAAAATGTGAGGAATAGATTCCAACAAAATCGTCATTATTGCATGGAGGTAAATGGACACCACTTTCAGCACTTATTACGACATTGACCTACCTCTTCGTAGCAAATTAATTCTTACTTTAAATTTTATGTGGGTGTAAACTGCAAGTTGTTTTTTGGACAAGTTTTATCTTGTACGAGTGTAATTTGTCTTCAAAAATTATTTGTACTGTTGAGCGTGTAACTCCTGAAGAAGTAGCCAGTCCACGATTGCTTTGGGTGACGTCAAGTGATACGTGTCACAGAACGGCTATTTCTGCGGCTTCATTTCTAACTGGTCGATCTTCTCGATAGCGATTATGGAGAATATTAGATACATATGCAGTTTCTTCCAATTTTCTTATCAACATAGCCACATACTAATTAGACAAGGCAGTTGCCATTTTGTATATACAGTTTTGTTATTTCTACCCTTTCTTGAATTGAGTAAGTCATTGTTCAATATTTGTCTTAACTAGGTAGGTAACTTAACAATGTGAAATGAAAGACAAAGTTTTTCTATGACGTACGATGACACTGACTGATGCTAAACGTTCTTGCTGGTATCCATGATCATTATTTTTTGCGGTGCATTCCATTATAATCAGTATTAAGTTAAGTACGCTTTATTATACAAAAGTTACTAAAACATTCATGGAAAATCTAAGAATTAAAAAAAATGGGCGTTTCCATCTAAAAATCTAAAGTGTAACGCAATATCTTATTTTTGGATCACACTGTATTGGATGGCTATATATGAGAAGACATCCCCCAAGCGATCAAAACTAACGTGTCCGAAAGTTTTTCCCAAAATATACCAGGGGAGTCACAAATGGAGGTGCGACCTTTTCTTATTTTTTCTTTACTACTTAGTACTTTTACCTCTAGCACCATCATACTAGAAAATAGTAGATAAAAAAAGTGCCTCCTAGAATGTCGAGTTCTTATTATTGCAAAGATAAGTAAGTATGTGTAGAGTGATAAATTTGAAATTACTCGCTCAAGAAAGTGCTGGGGTAGGGAGCGCATACTTGGGTCGAATACTTAAATCCGGTATTTGAATACGAATCCTGAATATTGTATTTTAAATTATATTCGAGTACTCAAGATTCGAATACAAAGGAAAGATTTTTATGTAATTAAGTTACATTAAGTACTAAGCATTAAGTTACTTATATTAACTAAAACTTAAATGGCATTTCAATACACAGTGTCGCAGAGAGGTTGAACAAACTAATCGTATAATAAAAATCATTGATACACGCAAACAGCTCAGATTATTGTCCCTTCGACTAAAATGTGCATTAGGAATAATAAAAATTTCTGACATTAGAAAAATTATAAAGGTTGTTCCTATTTTTAAGCAAGACGATAAAAGTAAAGCAACAAAGCCCAAATCACTTATTCCATTTATCTGCAAAATACTGAAAATACTACAAAGGATCAAATATTTGAACACTTTGAATCCAATAGTTTATTTGTATCCCGCCAGATCGGCTTCAAATAAAACGGCTCAACTTCATAAGCTATCAATATGCTTATTGAAGCTATAAACCAAAGTTTTGAAAATAATCAAGTCAATTTTATAAATTCCTTCGATTCGACCTAGGCGTTCAGAAATGGAGTATCTCAGGGATCTGTTCTTGGAGCCGTATTATTTTTAATTTATATTAACTATTTACCAAATTGTAACCAAACAAATAACTTAATATGGTTTGCTTATGACACAAGATGACAAATACACATTCTTCGTCTAGTTTACTTCTAACACAAACTGTTCATAAGGAAAACTTAGGAAACTGGTTGATTGCTATCAAGTTAATGATTCAAAAATGCAGACACTTTCTGTCAGCTTGCGTAAACATGACGTTGATCGCTGTAAGCAGTAAAATTCCTAGGCGTTTATTATTCATAGCCATATGACGTGGGCACATGTGGAGTCTCCTCAAATCTCTTTCGAGATGTATCTTTGTTATCAGCAATCTAAAAAACAATGTTTCCGAAAGTGTTCTCCTCACAAACTATCTACTATTCATATTTTAAAGTTAAGATGGCCCATTTATTAATTGGGGTCATTCCACTCACATGGCGAAAGTCTTTGGGATACAAAGACGAAGCGTAAGGTATATGCGTGGCTTAAAATATACGGAGCCATGTCTGGCAAAAACAGAAGGTAACCTACCAACTCAAACCCCGATTGGTGTAAGGCAGCTAGATATAGCAGTGTGCAGTAGGTACGGCTGGGAGCAGTATTTGAATAAACCAATAAAACACTTGTTCATTTCTCTCGGTGTTTTTCTTAAACAACACCATACAAAAAAAGTTTGCGTAATAGGTCTCTGTAATGATTCATGTCCGTCTTATATTTTGGTCAGTTGTTACCGTTACAGACCTACAGGTGGACTATCGCCATGTTGGTTTTCACAAGACGTCCTTCCCCACTTAAAATCCCCACGTCAACGTTTTATTATACCATAAGAAATTGCACATCCTCCAACAGTCACCACAAAGTGTTATTTTGAGGAATTCTAGGGAGACCATATTTTTGCATATATTATGACTCTCTGGATCAACTAGATCCATAGACGGATTAGGGGGGCATGGCCCCCAAATTTCATCGCCAAGCGTGCAAAAAAAAATTCTATTTTTGTCACGTCACAAGACATCAAACTCGGTTGTTATGTTCTCGGCATTCTACTTAGTGTGGAATCTTAATTTAGAACAAGGAAACCGAAAAGTAGTCCTCATCTAGTTCAGCATTTTTGCGCTATTATTTTAATATTTGTGAAGAAAATATGGAAGATACTTTTTATTTGTATGTCAGTAAGCTTATTTCGTGCTATGCTGGATTTTTTCAATCAAGCCCTTCCATAATTCAAAATAATATAGTAATCGTATATATAATGAAGCCAATTAGACCTCAAAAAACGTTTGCTTCGTTCATGTGCGAGAAGTAGAGGAACAATACGGAAGTATTAAGCACTCTTAATTGTTCACGTGAGGAGACTTGCAATTTGCAAAGTGTGCCCCCCAGCAAACTTTCCCTAACTCCGCCCATGACTGGATAAATTTCTATAAAAATTCTTGTCACACATGAGCCAACAAGCACATTTATCTCTAAAACAGTTTGAAATACAAAGTTAACATTTTGACAACATGTCTTAATTGTTCACTGTCAATAAGGTTAAGAAAATTAGCCTTTGCAAAATGATCAGTCCTCGTATTGCTCAAAACCGTAAGCTCTAGGCTGATACGATGGTATTGGTTGTAAAATGATCTGAACACTTGCAAACCTTGCTTTATTTCCGATGATGTACAAGTATGTGTAGATTGTAGTTCATTATATCGTTAACCCAGTCCACCTCTAGACATAGATGTCTCTGCATTAGGTAAAGCACGATTTCGATCTTCAGCTGCTCTGTAAACATTGTCAAATTATTTTATTTTGATGTATTCTGACACATATCT